TCGGAAAGGACTCGGTCGTCGATGATTCGAGCCGCCATGCGCTGGATGCGGTCAAGTGGAAGGAGCTGGCACTGGGGAGCCCCTGCCCAGAGATGGGAACAGTATTCCATGTGAGGCCGAACCTGCGCCTTGTAAAGTTGCAGGCGGTGTGCCGGCATGAAATACTGTCCCGCTCTGAGCACGCCAAGTGACCACGAAACTGCACGTCATTCGATATGTCGACTCCGAGGATTCCGATACTGGCCGAGGCAAGAAGGGGAGTGTCTTGAAACTGAGGAGATACGACAAAGGACCGCATGAGCTGGCAGTTAATAATTGATTCCATTATTTTGGCGAACAAGGAGGTGATCGCGATAGCCCTATAGTTGAACGGGTCTGAGCAGTCGCCTTTTTTAGGGATCAGGTGGACAAAAGCTGTCTTCCATGAATTCGGGACTACGCCTAGGGAGTAGGAGTAACGGAAAAGACGCGTTAGGATCGGTGCCAACTCCGGAGCACACGTTCTCAGCACAATTGGGGGGATTCCGTCATGCCCACTCGACTTCTGGATGTCCAGGGAGAGGAGTGCTTTGCGAACCCAGCGCTGTGAGAACAGCACATCCGGCATGGAGCACTCACACCGCGGGATGGTCGGCGGTGTTTTCCCCCCGTCATCAAGAGTCGAGCTGGACGCAAAAAGGGAGCGTAAAAGGTCGGCTTTGTCTTTTGCGTCTTGGGCCAGTGAGTCACACTCCCTGTGCAGAGATGGTAGTGATGGCTTACAGAAATTCCCTTGGGCAGCCTTGGCGAGAGACCAGAATGCATGGGTTCCCAAAGGAGGGCGAACTAGTTCCTCGCCAATTGTGCCTATGTGCTCTGACTTTGCCTTGGCAATAACTCTTTTGAAGGACCTGAAGGCGAAGTTATACTTCTTTTTAAGTGTGCTGTTGTTTACATCCCGAGTCGCCGAAGCCGCAGCCCAGGCTTGATAACTTACTGCGTAATGCAGTCTTACAGGACCAAACCAAGGCTGAGATCTATCTCCGATGGGTACCACAGATGATGGAATAAATAGTTCCATTCCCTGTAGCACCACATCAGTGACAGAGTCAGTAACAGCGCTGGGATCATCCGGCGAGAAGCAAACCCGCCCCCATGGGTAGGTTGCAAAGAAAGACCGCGTTCCGTCCCAATCCGCCGACCTGTAATGCCAAACACGGCGGCAACCTGCAGGACGCAACCGCGAGGGGAGCGTGAGTGGCACCATACTCCGGATCAGACAATGGTCCGAAGAGCCGAGAGGGGCATCGACGGAAACCTGATATCCGTCCGGATGAGAGGTCAGCAGAAAGTCCAACAGGGAAGGTGTATGATCCTCTACATCAGGAATCCGCGTAAGCGAAATAACCAGTTGTGTCAGACCATATGCCAAATTAAAGCCATAAATAGATCTCCCCGCATGATCGGTTAAACGTGAATTGAGCCATTCGGCGTGGTGGGCGTTAAAATCGCCAAGGATCACGATCTCTGCGGATGGGACCTGTTGTAGCAAAGAATCTGTAGCCATTTGGACGTGGTCGATGAGTCGGTCTGTTTCGGCATTACCGCTATAGGACCTATAGAGGCACCCGTAGACGCGCGGATGGTCGTCGCTGTCTACGTGTAGCCATAGGATGGACAGGTCCGAACCTTCAAGACTGCCGAGGCGTCGAGAACAGATGTCCTCTCTGACATACACGCAAACTCCAGCCCGAGGCACAAAGGAGTGCTCCAATTTGTACCCCGGGTAGGAGAGATACGAAATATCAGCCGACATCATGTTACACCTTGATGCCACTCAGTTCTCGGTACGGCCTCACCTTGACTCGGGTGTTTGGAGGAATGCACTACTTATTTCAGCTTGAAGCTTACTTGTGCCTTACGAAACACAGTTCCAGGTTTGATTTTGGAGTTACCCTTGTCATAGACAGGGTGCAAATCAATACTGTTGACGCATACCTTACCAAATTACACAAGTCAAAGTTAACCAACCGATGCTCGACTTTGAACTCGAACAATTTGAGTCGCCGAGTACCGGAACAAATTTGTGTCTGAAGTCGAGACTCAAACTCGAGAGTCGAAAGTCTCAGATTGGGAGCGACTAAATCTAGTCCAGTTCAATCCCCAGAAGACACAAGTTTGCGCATTTACCGCTAAAAGGAACCCCTTTGTCGTATCTCCTCAGTTTCAAGGCACTCCTCTTGTTGCCTCAGGCAGTATCGGAATCCTTGGAGTCGACATATCGAGTGACGTGTAGTTTCGTGATCACTTGGCGTGCTCAGCAGAGCGGGACAGTATTTTATGCTGGCACACCGCCTGCAACTTTACAAGGTGCAGGTTCGGCCTCACATGGAATACTGTTCCCATCTCTGGGCAGGGGTTCCCCAGTGCTAGCTCCTTCTACTTGACTGCATCCAGCGCAGAGCGGTTCGAATCGTCGACGACCGAGTTCTTTCCAATCGGCTTGACCCACTGGCACTGTCCTTTCATTTGATACCCATATTGTAGGAAAGCATAAAAAACTTAGTCCGCCATATTGGATTTAGAGTGACGTCACTTTATTTTTCGAATTACACTAAGCAAGCCCTTTTATTTGATACCCATATTGTAGGAGTGCATTAAAAATAACTAGTCCGCCATCTTGGGTGTTCCGCCATGTTGGATTTAGAATGACGTCACACAGATAACCATGCATTGTCATGCAAACTTCAAAATTGAGTTGCAAGATTCCATCCGAACGAACATAGTTACATTACAAGTTAAATAAAAGCTTGTCAAAAATAAATGTCAACCACTTCTATACAATTGGTTATGGAGATGACCTGACAATAATGGTCACGGGAAAAACAGCAAGCATGGTGTGCGACCTGACCTAAGCGGCTCTCCGTATAGTGGAGATTTGGTGTGTTGGTGGTTTGGAGTGGTTGGTTGATTGGTTGGACTTAACCATCAATCCAAATAAAACGTCTTAGTAATGTTCACATAAAAACGATTGTTGAATAATTAACGTTTTACAAATATCCTAGCCTATGTACAGCAGTCCACTTTGATAGGCCATAATGATAACAATGATGAAAGTAATTTCGAACCCAACACAGGAAAGAAAACCTTTTAAACGAACTATTTAAAAAAAACTTGGTTCTGTCGCATGCGTGTAGACATCCTTAAAGTAAATACTTTAAGCATTGCCTAACTGTTTGTACATTTATTGTGCCCCATATAGTTTCAGTTATGCAATGTCGCGGATGTCTCGTACAGGGATGCGTTCACAAAAAGGTCAGCTCGTTTTAATAGTATTTGTCCTAGATAAGGGCTCGAACAATGTGCGCTAAAAGTCAAGGTTTTACTAATCCTGTTTATGCTGAGATTTGAACGTGCGTGCATGAGTCGTAAAATGCGCATAGGGAAACAAACCAGGAGGTGGGTAGCAACGTCTTGCTTATAACAATAAAAATACTACGGTAGCCAACCCGCCCGCCAAGCGTGGCAAATATAACATATTCCGTATTTGCCATAGTTGCTTAAGAGGCAATTTATAGAGGAACCTATGCAGTGGCCTAGGCAGTGGATTTTTGATAGATGTAACGGTAACGGTACACAAACGACATGGTTATAAAGCTGTTCATTGGGGGCCACAAGAAGTTCTGAGGCACTTATTATTCTTATTTCGGGTATAGTTGTAGCACGAATAGGTCGGCTCGACCGGGGAACGACCACGCTCTCACAGAATATCAGCGTAAAATAGCAGCTTAACGCCGCTGTGTTTCGTATGGTGAGTGTAGAAAACCGGAGACCCTTTTTACTGGAAACGAGGCATTCTATCTTAGTCCTCACGGGTGACAACGCATCTGCATTTTGATTCTCAAACGAGGACAGATGGAGATGTCTATGGGTCACAGCACCCACTTACCATCAGGTGGACTGTGTGCTCGTTTGTCACCCAATCCTATCAAAAAACAGTCTATATACGTCCCACTGCTGGGCACAGGACTCCTCTCATTTCTGAGAGGGTTATATATATGCTTGTATAGGAAATATAAGGAAGTGTCTTCTGCGCTTCCCCAATACGTGTTGGCGGACTTCTCATGACTTTGAAATATATACATATATACATACATGCAGGTTTCCTCACGATCTTTTCCTTTACCGCAGAGCACGTGGTAAATCAGCACTTAAAACTGCAATTAACAATTTCATTGGTGCCGGCGGGGATCGAACCCAGGTTGCTCGTGTACTGTGAAATTTACAGCGAGCGCTAACCCACTGAACTACCACGGCTCTATATATATCTAATGCTGCACATAGGCTCTGCAAAATCACGACACTCAGATCGGTAATTAATAATTATAGTCTAAATTTTACTTTACTTTTTACTAGTCTTTATTTTTTATATTAGTTAGGAAAAAATACTTGTATTTCATTGTATGTACTGTTTGCTTGGTGACGCGACCAAACAGGGTTGGATCCTCATTGACAATAATGAAATAGTTGTCTAAAGGTCTTTTTGACCCCTGACGAAAAATGGATGTTATAGGTTTAACGTGTGTGTCTGTGTGTCTGTCTATGGTATCGTAGTTCCCAAACGGGTGAATCGATTTAGATTTAGATACGAGTGACTTCTTTTGTTTGGAAGGTGACTTGATCGAGAGTGTTCTTAGCTATGAATTTTTAATTTAAGATATTTTATATCACGTGCTTGTGGCTTCTTTTAGTTTAATAAACACTATTTTAAAGAAAATTATGAGATTTAGTTTCAATTTTGAACTGAATTTTGAAAATAAAAGACAAAATTATTTTGGCTGATTTATTTTTCATTTACAATCACATAGTGATTCTTACCACGTAAAAGCACAAGTAAGCACATAAACAATATATTACATGTTTGTAAAACATAAGTTATATTGTGTATATTAAGTTTTTTTTTTAATTTTCTAATGCCGACATAATTCTTATCCTACAATTGTACTACCATCCTTTGGTCTTTAGTATTTGTATCCTTCCTCAGGGCTAAAGCTTGGTGGCTGGCGAGGACCTCCAAAAGTTTGACCAGTATTCGCTTGGTTAGACGATGACGTAGATGAAAAACCAGGGCGTTGAGGTTGATTGCTAGGTAGGTTAGGCTGGGAACCTGGCTGATTATACTGGTATCCTTGACCACTAGTTGATCCAAGGGAGGGCTGATTTCCAATAGGCCTAAATGAAGAATTATTCTGACCTGATCCTGATAAAGAAGGTATGTTACCTACAGGTCGGTTTGGTGACGGGAACCCTTTATTTGTGGTACCAGAACTTGGCTGATTGCCACCGGGTCTATTCTGAGAACCTATGTTACTATTTGTAGGTCCAAACGTTGGCAGATTAGAATTAATTTGGGAACCAGGTTTTTGACCTGAAGAGCCTGATATTGACCCTGTTGAATATTGATTGCCATTTGGTCTGTACTGAGTGGAAGCTTGATCAATAGAGTTAGATCCAGAAGATGGCTGATTAGAACCACCACTAAATGGTGAAGACCCTTGTCCAGGTCGATTGGACCCCGATGGGAACGGGGAACCTTGAGGTCGATTATATTCGTATCCTGACTCTCTTTGATTTTGAGACGAACTTTGAAGTCCGTGACCTTTAGCACCTGATGATAATTTATTTGCCCCTTGATCAAAACCTTGTTGACCTTGACTCAACTGACCTTGTGCTTGAGCTCCAATTATCCGTCCAAAGGCACCCTGTCCTTGCGATCCAGTTGTCTGCCCATAACCGTTCTGTGCTTGTGCTCCAACATCTTGACCAACAGCACCCTTTACTCGAGATCCAGAAGATTGTCCAAAGATACCTTGTCTTTGCGATCCGGTAGTCTGTCCATAACCACTTTGCCCTTGTGCTCCAGTACCTTGACCAAAGGCATTCTGTCCTCGCGATCCAGTAGATTGTCCAAAGGCACTTTGCACTTGCGATCCGGCAGCTCGGTCATAACCACTTTGTCCTTGTGCTCCAGTACTTTGTCCTATGGCACCCTGACCTTGCGATCCAGAAGTCTGTCCAAAGGCAGCAGTTCCTTTCGATGCTCCTGTGTGCCCAAAAGCACCTTGCCCCTGCAATCTAGATGTCTGTCCAAAGGAATTCTGGGTTTGTGATCCAGAATTTTGTTCAAGGATACCATGCCCTTGCGATCCATTTGCCTGCCCAAAACCACTCTGACTTTTTGAACCATCTTTTTGTCCAAAAGCACCCTGTCCTTGTGATCTACTGCTCTGTCCATACCCACCCTGACCTTGCGATCCAGCTATCTGTCCATAAGCACCCTGTGCTTGTGATCCACTGCCAAGTTCATAACCACCCTGACCCTGCGATCCAGCAGTCTGTCCATAAGCACCCTGTCCTTGTAATCTACTGCTCTGTCCATACCCACCCTGACCTTGCGATCCAGTTGTTTGTCCATAAGCATCCTGTCCTTGCGATCCACTGCTCTGTCCATAACCACCTTGACCTCGCGATCCAGCTGTCTGTCCATAAGCACCCTGTGCTTGTGATCCACTGCCAAGATTATAACCACCCTGACCCCGCGATGCAGCAGTCTGTCCATAAGCACCCTGTGCTTGCGATCCACTGCTCTGTCTATATCCACCCTGCCCTTGAGATTCAGCTGTCTGTCCAAAAGCACCTTGACCTTGCTGTTGGTATCCGTTTCCTTTTCCATACCCTTGTTGACCATTTATCTGGTTAGATACTCCAGTTTCATACTCCTCTGGTCGGTAAGCACCTTAAAAAATATTTATTTTTGTATTCGTTTAAAATTGTTAATTATTTATTATGAAATTAAGCCAAGTAGTATTATTTAGAGATGCACATAAATACAAAACAAAATTAGAGTAAACTGTTAGGTCTTAACTGACCTGGAAGATAGCCGTTTTGCATGAAATAAATTTGCTTTACAAAATTATGCTTGGAAGGAGCCCCCTCAACTGATGATGGAAACAGTATCAACGTCCCTGAAACCTGGGCAAATCTGAATATTCATCACAAACTGATAGCCCGTTCCTTTTAACGTTTTGACAAATTTTATATGATAATTTGGTTAGGAGCCATGGTAGCTAAAAGCTCACCGTTAATATCGCAGTATTTATGCAACCCGGGTGTGATCCCAGGCAGCAAACTAAATAATGGCACGAATTAAATATTTCGGGGACATGTGAAGTCTGTTAACATGCAGTGAGAGGAGACCTGTGCCCAACATTGGAAAGTATGTAAGCTCTAAGGTTACTTTAATTTTACTTAGGTTTGTTATATTTAGTCATTAATAAAAAATTACGACTACGAAAATTTGCTAGCAGTGACACGAATGGTCAAATAGCCCATGTGACTCCAAACTAAAACCTACATTGCTAAAAACTCTCAATACAGTGGAAATATATCAATAATATGAAAACAGCGGCACTCATCAAGCTACTTCATCCAAACAATTTTTTCAGTAAATGTTGACTCCATTTGGAACGGCACTGTAATATATCCCGCACTTTTTAAGTAACTAGCGAATCCGCCCCAGCTAGGCCTGAGTAGTATCTATTAGTGTAGAATTATTTAAATTTATGATAATCATCAAGGGCCTAAAGTTAAAGGTTATTTTATAATTTTTTTTATAGGATAGGGTGACAAACGAGCACACAGTCCACCTGATGGTAAGTGGTTTATGTGACCCATAGACATCTACATCTATCCTCAATAAAGACTCAAGATGCAGATGCGTTGTCACCCGTGAGGACTAAGATGGAATGCCTCTTTGCCAGTAAAAAGGGTCTCCGGTTCTCTACACTCACCATACGAAACACAGCAGCGTTAAGCTGCTATTTTACGCTGGTTTTCTATGAGAGCGTGGTCCTTCCCCGGTCGAGCCGGCCCATTCGTGCTACAACCATAATATAGCTGCAGCATGGCTCTACAACGTAGATTTTTTGTTGCCCAAAAAATTCTCCAAGTATTTCAGATAAAATAAACCTAGATCATTCCTGGCATTGTTCTCTATCTTTTCTTGAAGTTTCATTACAATTTAGTCAAGCCATTCTGAGGATTAGGCCGGTCATACAAACAAAAATTTAAAACATGTTAATGATTGCCTTAATTGCACGTAAGTCACCTCTTCAGAATACAATTTATTATTTCGATATTACATACATTTCAAGTTCATTTACATGAATGTATAGATATTAGTTAGAAGCGGTCAGTCTACCTGGAGATCGACCCTGTTTCATAATAGCATCATTATGATGATCGATGACATAGGCATAATCGCAACATATCCAGACTCGGAAGCAAACATTTTTTCAACACACACAAAAAATGCACTTTTTATAAGTAACAGTAGTGTTAAATGGCCAGTACACCTAGTGATAGTAGTCCCTTGACAGCTGCAGTCAACTAAAACTATTTAGACCATAGATGATTTGTCTTATTTGAAACTAAGATAAAATAATTATCGGGCTGTAACTATACTGATTTGCTAGCCATTCTAACTAGAACGCAGCAGTGAGCACACTCTGAGTTGTCGGTAGACATATGTAAACGTATAGTATCAATCATGACGTATAGGGGACAGAAAAAGGCGCTCTACTGACCTAGTGCGGCAAATAACAATATCAAATAAAATATTTTAACTAATAAAAATTAACTAAGAATTCAGCTTAACAGTGCACTTTCAAACCAGTCAAACATAGGCTTCTATTGACGGCTCCGTGGCGCAGTGCCAATGAGCTGCACCGCTCAGGTCCGCGGGTTCGAATCCCGCGCGTAACAAGTATCTGTATGGCCTACAAATAATTGTTCCGGGCCTGGATTTTAGTCCTTGTGAAATATATGCATGTAAACTGCCCCCAGGAAACAGGAGAAATTCCAAATGTGGAAGTAACGTTCTTTGAAAAAGAATATTAGACAAGAATATAATAATATACGAGACGTCTTTTACTTTTGACACTGTTTCCCCTCGTCCACATGTATATTTCACCTTTGTTACAAAAAACAAGATGGTTATACCGGTGTTTGACGAAGGCCACAAGATCTTCCAGGCAACTTTGCTAAGTCGCCTTTCACAATAACCAAAGAATATGTGATAGGGTAGGTACTAGATTTCCGCCTTTATATTATTATACCTATTATAACTTTTCAATAACATTTTTATTTTTAGTTTACTAAACGATATTAAGCTAAGGAAGGACCATGCTCTCACAAAATACCAGCATGAGACAACAACTTAATGCTGCTGCTACGTTTCGTAGGGTAAGAAAAGAAAACCGGAGACCCTTTTTACTGGAAACGAGATATTCCATCTTAGTACTGAAGGGTGACAAGGCATTTGTATTTTGATTCTTAATTGAGGATAGCTGTAAATGTCTGTGGCAGCATCTATTTACCATCAGGTAGATTGTGTGCTCGTTCGTCACCCTTGTTCTTTAAAAAAATAACTAAAAATAAAAATAAACATTTTTTTACCTTCTTGAACTCCAGCTGCTGCAGCTCTCGCATTTTCTTCGATGGATTTAAGTATCTCCACAGGAATTGGGGGTGGAGTAGGCAAATGATTACCTTGAGGTTGAAATCCATTTTCGTCAGCGGTATACGTCACAGTTATCTTTTCACCATCATCGGATGTATAAGAGAACCCTCCTTGAGCTCTCACTCCATTGGTAGCAACACCGGATTCCTCGGCAGATATACCGTTAGAGGTTTCAAAACTGTAAGAGTATGTTTCGCCATCGTTTTGGTTTTCATATCTCAGAATTTGCGCATTCCTTTCTGAATCACTTTGAGCCCGCTGAGACTGGTGTGCCTGACTGACGAATGAATTTGCTTGCCCGCCTTGATTTGATGAGTAGGATTGAGTAAATGAACCTTGTGCGCCTTGGCGATATCCAGAACTAGTACCAGAATCGAAACCAGTTTCAGTTGGTGATGATGTTTGACCAAATCCAGATGCACCTGTATTCTGACCAAGCGCAGAAGATTTGGTTCCAGCAGATCCGCTAGATGGGCTAAATCCACCAGATTTTGTTTGATCGAAGTTTGATCCGAAGCCAGTGCCAGTTGGTTGAGATGTTAATTGGGAGGATTGTCCAAAAGTAGCCTCAGTTTGTCTAAAACCAGGCAAATTAGAAGATGTTCCAAACCCTGGTGATTTTGGACCCGATGGTCCATTTCCAAATGGAGCAGTTAAAGCTCCGGGACTTCCGCCGGAACTTGCCGCATTAGCGGGAGGCAGGTAAGTCCGATCTAATTTATCCGCATAGCCATAGGCTATTACTGAAATAACTAAAAGCTGAAAAATAAGCAAAATTTAAAAATAAGTATTTTAGTAAAAATTATAACATTTATTTACTTAAGATTTTAATTTATAAATAATTTTTATTTGCTTAATGATTTTTATAATGCCTTATTAATATTATTAATTTTAAGGACTTATTAAAATTTTAGATAAAAATATATAATTTTCTAAGTGAATATGACTATTGAGCGTCTATAAGACTTTTTTAAGAGAATACACAATTGCACACTACACATTTTGAATAAACAAAACCAATTATTACCAGCTTCATTTCAAGCTGTACACGTTGCAAAGGACTAATCGCGAATGTGCAGCAAAACTGAAACTCATCCTATATTTATATCACAGAAAATTCGTTCACCTCACTTAGTTACCTAAAACCGTACTCACGGTCCTAACCTTTGACTGCTCGTACAGTGAAGACTCTTAGGTCCGTTTATGTGTGCATTTGTATTGCTAAATTTCCCGATCGATATCGCCGTTATACTAATTACTGTGTTCATGATACGCATATTTCAGTGTGAGTGAGTGAATGTTATATTAATAATATATTCACACGTTGTTGTTTATTGACTTTATAACGTCATTTCAATATCAATTATTAATAGTAATTGTTTCATATTAAAAGTTTATGGTGGTATATTTAATGGGATACCTTAAAATAATCATTTTATTGGTGCTAATAACAAATGTTGTAGATAATTGGATAATTAAGGCATATAGTATATCTGTTTACATATTTTAACTAAGTTATTGATGAATTTGTTAATAATTATTTTGGTTAATATAGTCTTTTTGGAATCACAACTTGTCTTATTTTGTATCAAGTTTGTTTAACCATATTGGATGTTGTCGATCTATTTTTATTTATGATGTATTCGTATAACAGAAATACTCGTATTATCGTGTGAATACTCATGTTATGATACCATTAAGCATATTATATTGTTTTTAACTGTTACTTATTACAAAAGAAAGGAATGGCTTATCCATTATTTCGTTAACATTAGGCAAATACTGGATATGAGCTTGGATAGTAAAGAGGATATTCGGTAATAACAATCGTCTTACTTGGGAGGCAACACTGCCGCTTCTATTTAAAATCCAGGAAAATTGTGTTGGTTATTCCCTATCCGTCAATTGTGTTACATATTCACTTCGATTTCGTCGGAATTTTAGTCTTTTATTAGGGGCGCATTTTGCATTTTGATTCTTTTTTTTTTATAGGATAATGTCCACTTACCATGTGGTGGACTGTGTACTCTTTCTTCACCCTTATTCCGTTAAAATACTACCAGCTAATTAGATTTTCTTATTTTTCTTATATTTTTTATTTTTATGGAGAAAGGTTACCCCTGAACTGGGATTTTCTCCTGTGTCGTGTAGGCAGTTTACAAAGATAAATTGCACGAGGACAAACATTCACACCCGGAACAATTATTTGTAGGCGATACAAATACTTGTTCCGTGCGGAATTCGAACCCGCGGCCCCCAGCGCAACAACTTATTGCTAAGCCACTGCACCATGGAGCCGTCCTTTTCTACCCAGGAGTCTGTACGCGTAGGTACCACACTTTTACGTATATCTGCTGCTAAATACTTGCACTGCTATGTTCCGCTCTGAAGGGTATAGAAAGCCAGTATAATTACAGGATTTGAGATAATCCATCTTAATTATCAGAGGTGATCCAGTGAGACCAAATATCTTTTTATCCGACTTCAAAAGAAGGAGGTTTACAATTCAATAGCATGTGTTTTGTATTTATGTTACGCGATATCATTTTACAACCAATTTTGATGTTGTAGACGACATTGTGATATTACCTTAGTCCACTCAAAAAAGTTAACAAAATCAAAGCCGACTTCAAAGTAATAAATAATTTCACATTCAGAAGTTGGATCTTTAAGTTTTCTTATAGGATAAGGGTGACAAACGAGCACACAGTCCACCTGATTTATCCTCATTTACGAATCGAAATGCAGATGCGTCGTCACCCGTGAGGACTAAGATGGTATGCATCTTTTCCAGTAAAAAGGGTCTCCGGTTCTCTACACTCACCATACACAGCACAAAACACAGCAGTGTCAAGTTGCCATTTTACGCTGGTATTCTGTGAGAGCGTGTTCCTTCCCTGATCGAGCCGACCTATTCGTGTTACAACTATACCAGAAATATAGCTGCAGCATGGCTCTACCACGTATAAACTTAGCACTGATGTATATCGCATGTACCCATTAGAAATATTTTTCTTTAAACTTACAGGTAACCCATGAAGTTTTTCTTCACCGTCGAACTCGTGGTAAATTATAGTTTAAAATTGCAACTAACAATTTTAAAGGGCCGAACTCACAGTCCAACTGATGACAAGTTGCTATTGCGGCCTATGAACCAACCTCAAACAAATAAAGCTACTTTGACAAACTTTAGTTTTACAAAATGGCAAGCAACCTCAAACAAAAAAGGTTACAAATGCGTTTTCACTTCTTAAGATCACATGAATGCCTCACTTGTTATTATATTGACTTTCTATACCTACTCTTCATTCCGTAACATAACAATTCGAGTACTGCTAATTGGGAACAGAAATATGTAAAAGTGTGTTTCCTACCCAGACAAACTCCTAGACAAAAGAGGAGGACTCCTATCTATTACCAGCTAGTAGTAGCAGTAAAAGACTAATAAAAGCCACTGCTCTGCGCGGGTTCGAATCCCGTACGGAATAATATTTGTACGGCCTACAAATAATTGTTCCGGGTCTGGATGTTTGTCCTTGTGCAATTTGTGTTTGTAAATTGCCTCCACGATACAGGAGAAAATCCTAGTGTGGGGGTAACATTTAAAAAAAAAAAGAATTTAAAAAAAAGAAAAGAAAAAAACGACTTCGGGTTGCGGCGCTGATAGTCACGGATTGGAATACTGACAATGTTCAGTATTTCATATGACAGCGTAAAATACCGTCACTCTTCCTCATCTTGTCGTAAGCCGAGACATAGGGAAGATACACGTAAATAGTGTCACATAGTGACAAAAAAAATATACGTTGTAGAGCCATGCTGGAGCTATATTAGTAGTATAGTTGTAGCACGAATGGGTCGGCTCGGCCGGGGTAGGACCACGCTCTCACAGAATACCGGCGTCAAATAGCAGCTTAACAGTGCTGTGTATCGTATGGTGAGTGTAGAGAACCGGAGACCCTTTTTACTGGAAAAGAGGTCACGGGTGACAATGCATCTGCATTTTGATTCGTAATTGAGGAAAATGTAGATTTCTATGGGCCACAGCAACCACTTACCATCAGGTGGACTGTGTGCTCGTTTGTCACCCTATTGCATAAAAAAATCAGCGAGTATATATATATGCCGAAAGTAAAACTAATTCAACGACGGAAGCAGAGACAAATATTAATTTGCGAGTCATCTACTGTACAGTTACTGCGATCAAAAATCTACCTACGGAGCATGAGGCAAACCTTCTCTGATAACAATAAAAAGGAGAGAAACTTTGTATTTACATAAACAATTATTAAACTAAACTAAATTATTACGAAACTTCAATTATACACAAGTATTTCAGTTGCAGCATATTGGTTTGAAATATTTTTTGAGTGAGCGTGACACTGACTAGATCTTGGTCAAAATCAATAAGTTGGCATTTCAGGTCATCCGGTCCACGAATTCGTGAGCACGTCAGTGAGTATAAATATCGCAATTCTAACGTCATCCGCCAACCGCGACCCTTCACATACATTTCTATCAATATTAATTTACATATATATATATATATATATATATATATATATATATATATATATATATATATATATATATATAGATATATCAATAATAATAATTATTATATATTTTTGATAGTATTTTTAGTTCACGCGTAATTTTAAATAATTACCTACGTTGGCAACAAAACATTACAACCTATTGAAATTTGTTGTCTAAACATAGATTGCGATGTAGAACTCTACATAATTTCCTTCATATACGAATATTAATCCTTGACTGAGTAAACCTATTTGTGTTCTAGTCATAATATACTTCTAATATGCTAAAAAGTAAAAAAAGATTTAATTTAACTGAACTGGTTTATTTTTATAGAGATATAGTCATTAACTTCAGTTTTCATGTATAAACCTATCATAGTTCTTGAGTTAATAAGGTCTAAAGAATGTCACTCATCAAAAGCCTAAATTTTTTTCTAGATTACTAAGAAACTTGAAATTTTGCACGTGAATAGATCAGTAGACATATACAAAGGAAAACATCTGAAAACAACTAATTATCGATATTCGGTGTCCACAGGCTGCCAATTAAATAACTGTTTAAATTTAAAATAGAAAACAGTAAAGCGTAAACACAAGAGATAATAGTTTTTTTCAAAAGACATGACATCTTCGATATCTCCCTAATGATATAAAATAATTGAGTTCCGAACAGGCACAAAGCTCATAGGAGTTACTTAGATCATAGCCTCTATAGCAATGTGCAACGTTCTTGGAACTACTATGCAGCTTTGCGCTCGTTCAAACTTCAACTCTTTTATCAACGTAGGCTATAACTCCAAACGTCGTTTGTACCATAACTAGGCCTCTTTTCGCATTTACATTTTTGGTGAGATAAGTTTATTACGTTATATTCCTATAATATGACATACTACTGCTGCTTTTTGAGGGTCATACACAAGAAACCATGCGTAACTGTTTCTATAGACTCAAAGTCTTGTACCAAATAAGAGAGTATTTGACAGTGGACATGCGCATTAGGTTGTGTGAAGCACTCATTCTGTCGAAGCTAACTTATGTGGATACAGTATTTGGTGAGTGTTTGCTCGCTAGAACCAAAAGATTAATACAAAGAGTTCAAAACGCCTGTGCACGTTTCTGCTTCACAATCCCTAAGAGATCACGACCTGATGAGTATGACTGCTAGACATACTCTCCACCTTGCGTCATTGCTTTTTGGAGTAATAAATATCGGGGAACCATCATACTGGTACCAAA